AGATTCAAACACCGAAATCGATCTTTTTCAAGATCTAAATCCAATTCAAGATCACGGTCCAAGTCCCAGCCCAAGAAAGAAATGAAGGCTAAATCACGTTCTAGGTCTGCATCTCACACCAAAACTAGAGGCACCTCTAAAACAGATTCCAAAACACATTATAAGTCTGGCTCAAGATATGAAAAGGAATCAAGGAAAAAAGAACCACCTAGATCCAAATCTCAGTCAAGATCACAGTCTAGGTCTAGGTCAAAATCTAGATCAAGGTCTTGGACTAGTCCTAAGTCCAGTGGCCACTGATAGTTCAAACCATGATAATTTTTAGGCATGTATCATTCATTTACTCATAGTTTGGTTTACTTAAATTATCAGGAATACAATGTTGCAATGATGCTTAAAAAACACTTGTTAGTTTTCCCTGTACCAGGCAATGGTTATAATTAAAATATGCTGTTGAGAAGCCACTCTTAAGAGTCCAGTTTGTTTAATGTTATGGGCAGCTACCAATTTGTGGTGTCTCTGTATATTTTTGTAAAGATTCTCATTTTTTATGCTTGAAGTATTTGGTGAAAAGATGTTGGTTGACCATAATTTGCAACATTGTCTTATTAAAAATAAACTTTCATATTCATATTTGGTAGAACTGTTAACCTAGAAATGTAGCTTGCTAATAAGGTAGAATGATACAGAAGTGAAGTTGTAGCCACAGTACAACACTGACTGCTCAGACACATTTAGGTTCAGGGTGGACCTTTGTCTTTGCAAGATGTTTAGGCCCCTGATAATAGTTTATTTATGATGCAGTTTGGAAAAGTTCTTTTGTTAACCCTTCTCTCTTGGGAATGATGCCAACTGGGTTATGTAGTATTTTCAGGGAGATTGAGTTTTTGACTGAAACATGGAGCCTTCACTGCTTTTTTTCTGGTTTCTAGGAAGATTTAGAACATACAAAACATCAGAAAAACTCACCTTAAAATTTGAGCAGGTCAATGATGGCAGGAATAATCTTAAGGGGAAAAGGATATTCTTACATAGTTACACTAAAATTTAAGGAATATTGTTGACCATACTATTATTAGTTTTCTTACTGCTGTTAGAAGCAAGTAAATTGTTCTGTAGTAGGTTGTGTGTGTATGTGCGTGCACATAGTGTAAAAGAAATGAATTTTGATGCTTATAGCACTTGACATGTGCATTTGTATCAAAATTTGCCTGCTTCTTTATGAGGGAGGCTTGCTCTTCACATCTCATTTTATTTAATATGAGGCAAGTTGAAAGACAGCATTGTCATTCTAGGTGATTCTGTGGTGCCATGAAATTTAAAGTAGTTTTGCAAAAAGGGTTAGTCCATTTTAAGAAAGAGTCACATCTCTTGAGTTTTTGATTATTAATGTGTAGTACCCAGCTAAAAATGAAGAAGTAATACCCTTCCCATTTATAATTTCTAGCATTTCTCTGAAAGATCATTTCGGAGGCAAAAGTGACTTGACATGTCCAATCTCATTTCAGAATAAAAAGGTAGCATCTTTAAAGATCTCAGATTGCTTATTTGCAGATATAAGTGAGAATTATTGGGGAAAATGATTCCTTTTAGAGGATTACTTTTTTTCAATTTTGGTTTCAGTAATCTAGGCTTTGCCTGTAAAGAACAAAAAGATGGTTTTTAAATACTATTTGTGGAATGTGTTTAAAGGATTGATTCTAGAACCTTTGTATATTTGATAGTATTTCTAACTTCATTTCTTTACTGTTTGCAGTTAATGTTCATGTTCTGCTATGCAATCATTTATATGCACGTTTCTTTAATTTTTTTAGATTTTCCTGGATGTATAGTTTAAACAACAAAAAGTCTATTTAAAACTGTAGCAGTAGTTTGCAGTTCTAGCAAAGAGGAAAGTTGTGGGGTTAAACTTTGTATTTTCTTTCTTATAGAAGCTTCTAAAAAGGTATTTTTATATGTTCTTTTTAACAAATATTGTGTACAACCTTTAAAACATCAATGTTTGGATCAAAACAAGACCCAGCTTATTTTCTGCTTGCTGTAAATTAAGCAAACATGCTATAATAAAAACAAAATGAAGGAAATAATGATTAACTGGAATTATTATAGTATTAAATATGATTCTAAAATAACAGTGGAAATAGTCCTTTGTAGATTTAGGGATACTTTTAATCAGTATTGCACTAGGCACAACTAACATTTACTTTGGAGATGATAGAACTTGCCAGAAAGCTACATCTTTTCATAGTACTTAAGAATTCAGTTGTAATGTCAAAGTTGTTTCATGATTGCTTATTAAGCCTCTTGGGTTAAATAACTTATAAAGAGGTTATTTGGTAGTATTAAGATATATATTAAAATGAAGTTTGGTTTAGCTAATTACAAGTTTATACTTCATTATTGGGCGGATCAATAATTCTGCTCTGTCACTTTCTAAACAAGATACATTGCGCTTTCTGTCTATGGCGTGATTTAAATTCTTTTTCTTTGAATGTTGGTGAGCATTTAATACTGAGTGATAACCACATTGGGGAAGTAGGGTAGGTGTTTTGTGGTTTGAATTCTAGCTACTGTATGACAATTATAGCTCATAATTTATTAATTATGATGTGCCAGATACTTCAAAAGGCTTTGTGTTGTTAACTCATTTACTCTTCACAAAACATGAGAAAGATACTTTTTATTTCCCCTATATTCCAGATAAACTAAGGCACCAAGAAAAGGCAGAGGCAGGATTTGAGCCCAGGCCTGGTCCTTAGGTTTTTGCATGTGTATTTTTAGGTTTTTGTTGTGTTTTCCAAACTGTAATTTGAGAGAAGTAGGTCGAGGAGATAGCCCATTGAAATTGTTCTTATTCTCTCTCTGTGTAGAACTAGAAGGCCTGATGTTTTTGTTTTTTTAGTTTAGTCAGCTTATTTTTAGACTCTGACTATATGATTCTTGAGAACTTTATATGTTTCTAAATTGACATACCTAACAGCTTCAAAAGGTTTATAGTTTATAGTTGAACCTGTGGTGGTTAGGATCCTACTGATAATTGATGAGGATCTTTACATGGTGTTTTAAGTTAATTTCAGGTTACATAGTTGAGTTCTGCACTTACTGAATACCTTCTGTGTGTCTGGCACTGGGCTCAATATTAAATAGAATAATCATATCAACACTCAAGTGAGGGCTGAGACTTCACCTCTCCTTTTACTTAAGATCTCTGCATTTTTTTTTTTTTTTTGAAGCCAAGTAAGCAAGAAGAAAAATGAGAGATAATGCTTCAGTGAGAGAGGAAAGGTGCTACATACAGTATGCGCTGTTAAGTTACAACCCAGGGAAAAGACCTGGGAACTATTGTATTATTCTCTTGAAAATTTGGCCCAGTAAGCTGCTACATCCAGTTCAACTAACAAAATCCTGTATACCAGAGAGAAGAATAAAGAAAACCAAACTGACAAACATCCTTCTTTTATTTAAGACCAAACTGCAGCTGGAATACCCAGTACAGTTCTGCTTACTACACTTCAAGAAAGATCTGAAAGCGGATAAAGAACCAAAGAAGGGCAGTTCA